GAGCCGCTAGCGCGAGGGGCCCATGCGGCCCCCAAAGTCCCCCGTTCCCGGCGCTAGGCCCTGCCGGTGGGGCTACCCAGCTGCTCTATTTTTACTACGGTATTTTCTGCATTCAGACTTTCCACTGCAGGCGGCCCGGGTCAGAGGATCCGCTCTGCCGGGGGGAATCTGACAGGTCAGCTCAGCGAGAGTTATTTATAGAGGGGCGTGGGGCAGAGGGAAGGGATGCAAACGGCATCGTATTCTTCGGTCGCAGGGCTGAGAAATCAGCAACCCCCCCCCCCCCCCCCCCCCGCCGGCGGGCTCAGCGCAGCCGAGTAAGGCGGTTGTGGCAGGGAAATCCCAGGCGCTGCGCGAGGGATTTTAATGAAGCCAACAGAACTCGATTTCTGGGCGAGGGGGCGGCACAGCCTGGCCGGAGATCACCGAGGCCGGGACACGTGTCTGTCAGAGACACGGTGCTAAGGAGCAGCGCTAGCTCCCCCCGACTCAGGCCCAGGTGCTCCCCCTTCCCTCTTTCCCCCTCCATCTTCCCTCACACTGCCCCTCAGGAGGCAAGGACGCAGGTCCTCATTCTCCTGGTTGCGCATCCTGGCAAGAAGAGGAGGACTTTTGTCCCCTGGTGCCCAGATGATTTCTCAGGAAAGTCCCAGACAAAACTGTGCTCCCTCAAACAACAAACCATGACTGCAGAGGGTAACTAAGATGGAAAAGGGTGGTGGAGCTGGTCTGGTACTGCTTTCAGAGGTTCTTCTGCATGTGAAGGCCTCCTCAAGGAGGATTTAAGTTTTCATTATACTACTGCAATAACCTGTTGATAAAATGGGGATATCATCCACCCTTTTTCCCTGTGCTGTAGAATTGTTTTTGATGAAGGTAAAACTGGGACAGAGTAGAAGCAGCAATATTTCAAACCATAATCAAAATGCCCCCCCTCAAGCCCTGGTGCTTAGCTGCCTAGTCCTGAAGGCATTTAAAATCAGGCGTCTGGCTGCTACATTTGGAGGTGCCTAAGCTGCATGCGCATGGCTAGAACTACCCTACCTACCGTATCTGGCCTGACACCCAGCCATACCAAACCCTGGCTGGCATTCCCCCGGCTTCATAAGCATTTGCTGAGGATACTTGACACGCTGACAGGATTTGACTCTTCCCACACAATGTAGCTGCCATCTTTCAAAACCTGACCACACCAGGAGATGCTACCTATTGCCTTACTGCATGTGATGTCTGTTCAGGCTGAAAACAGAAGACCTGGCATCCATGGCCTTCCCATCCAGATGGGGGTCAAAGCCACAGCTCCCATTTCTTAAGGAAGTGCCATTTATGCTCATCACTATATTTGGGTGACCTGAATCTGGCCTCAGTACAGCAAAGTGTCACAGAGCTCAAACAGCCACTGGGACACACCAATGGAAGCACTATCTTCCCACTTTTGCACAAAGTTTAGAATTCAGCATTCATTGATTAGAGCTTCTACGTAGTGGCAAGAGCAGGAGGTGCTGGGAGCCTTTGCTGGATCTAACCCGCCTGATATTCCCTTGCCTGATTCTGCCTGGAATCACCAGTCACGGAAACACCACTGCCTCTCTAGTGAGAGAGAGTTCTGTCTGGGTGTTTATCCACATTAGCCTCTGAAAGCACTCCTCTCTTGGCCATGGAAGTAATGACAAGAAATTATATGTTTGGCAATACGTGGATTCAATAATGTTCCTCAAGGGAGCGGAGTGCTAAGACCTAAACATGTGTATCATCTTAGCCAAAAAAAAAAAAAGAAAAAGAAACTCAAGAAACTCCTATACTCAAGTAAGCCTGCATTTTTAAGTAATTACTGGCACTATTTAGAGTCATGGCTTTCATTCATATCCGCAGACATCATCTAATATATAATTATAATCTAAATAATAATACAGATATATTAAGTTGTCCAGTGTGCATTGCACATTTTATATGTATAGAGCACCTCCATTCTTGACACATTTCAAACCAGCTTATACTTCTGATTCACTACACACTCTTATCTACCACAGGCACGCAGTGGAGGGCCAACAAAGATTTTTGGAGAGGAAGTAAATGCTTTCTTCCGTCCTTCATAGTCCCAGTCTCCAAAAAAGAAGGAAATACAACATTTTTGTCCTAATGGTC